CACTCTGTGTCACACAGTGGCCAGAAATACCAGGTGCCATCAGGAGGTCCACCAGTGGAGCCAGGAGGACATTAGAAGCCCTCCCACTGTTGACCCCCACAAGCACCAAGAAGACAGAGCATCACTTGCCCCAGAGTCCCTATCTATACCTTGTGGCTAATAGCCACTGATGGACCTCTGCTCCATATGCTTATCTAATTCCCTTTTGAAGCCGTCCATGCTTGTAGCCGCCACCACTTCCTGTGGCAGTGAATTCCAAGTGTTAATCACTATTTGGGTGAAGAAGTACTTCCTCTTATCCGTTCTAACCCGACCGTTCAGCAATTTCATGGAGTGCCCACGAGTTCTTGTCTTGTGAGAAAGGGAGAAAAGTACCTCTTTCTCTGCCTGCTCTTTCCCATGCATAATGTTATAAACCTCAATCATGTCACCCCTCAGTCGTCGTTTCTCCAAGCTAGGGCTGAGTCATTATCTTGTAGGAGTTCCCCAGACTGTGACATCTTCACTGCCTTCCAATTTATATCTGGGCACGATTCAAAGTCAGGGGAGTGGCCGTGGCTCAGTGGTAGGTCATCTGCTTGGCATGCAGAAGGCCCCAGGTTCAATCCCCGGCACCTCCGAGTTAAAAGGATCAGGTGGTAGGTGATGTGAAAGGCCTCTGCCTGAGATGTTGAGGAGCGGCTGCCAGTCTGAGTAGCGAATGTGGACTTTGATGGACCAAGGCCAGGTCTGATTCAGTAGGAGGCAGCTTCCCGTGTTCCAGTGTTGAATCTGCACTGTATGCACTCCAGGCTCCCAATGCAACAGACAGACCCACAAGTGTACAACGCACACCAGCAAGCGTGCCTGCCACCCGTGACATATATTGGATAGACCAGAGATGAGCTCACGCTTCCTGCCCTGGACTCCAGGGCGTTTCTCTGATTCGACAGCAGCCTCTCCCAATCGCTTTCACAGACACTGCTTTCGCCAGCTGTCTTCCCGAGCAAACCCTCCCTCGTCTCGGTGTGATGCTTCCCAGATCTCAGCATGTTTCAGCGTGAGAGATTGGGACGTGGCGGGAACGAGGCCGATCGGCTGCGTGTGGGTTGGCTGTCCAGTTCAGGAGTACCTGGTCTCTCCCTTCTCCAGGACGCGAACTGTTTTGAAAGAAATATGCACACAAAAATAGCACACCGGGGAGAAGGCTGGGCTAGTTTCCCAAGGGCAGAGAGATTTTCACGGCAAGAGACGTCCTGTACACATGCCTCCCTGCACCTGCAGTCTGGCTGCATGGCCCCGGGGAACTTGGTGCTGCATGATACATCTCTGCTCACAGGCTGGGACAGACGCATTCCATCTCTCAAGAACGGAATTGATTAACTTAATCAGGAGGGGGGGGGAACCCAGCCCTGGTGCCTAATGTAAATTCTAAGACCCAGATTTATTTTTTTAAAGTTATTGATGGCTGTTTTGTTCCTGTTGACTATTGGGTTCTTCTATGTTGGCTGCTGCAGGATTCCACACACACACGCCCTCACGGTAAGGCTGGTGTGGTTTGAACATACCCCATGAAGCTGCCGTAGACTGAATCAGAACTTCCGTCCATCAAGGTCAGTATTGTCTACTCAGACTGGCAGGCGTTCTCCAGGGTCTCAGGCAGAGAGGTCTTTCACTTCACCGACTGCCTGGTTCTTTTGACTGGAGATGCTGGGGATTGAACCTGGGGCCTTCTGAATTTATTGTTCGATGTATTGTGCATTTTATTGTAGGATTCAGGGGTCATTTCCTGCAGGACCGCACAGGAGCGGAGCTCCGGCAGTAAGGAGCTCAGGGGGCGGGCACATGCAACAAGCCCCACCCCCTGCTCCCAGCAGCCCTCGGTTGGGCCATGAGAAACAAGAAGCAGCTAGGTAAGTTGCTGAGGCCCCCCCGGCCCACCTTCAGGTACAAGATCTCCCTCCTCTGTGAGGACATATCTGCACGTCCCCCCTCGCCGCCAATAGCTAGCAATCCAAAACAGTCCAGTGAAGCCTGAGCAGAGGGTGTTGCCTTCTGACACACTTCCGGTGATGTCAGGGGGTGTGGCATATGCAAATAAGTTATGCTAATAAGTTATGCTAATGAGCTCCTGCACCTCTTTTTCTACGAAATGACCCCTGGGTAGGATTGTAATCTAAGTTATTTATTGTATGTTTTCCCCCTGTCGTGAGCCGCCTTGAGCCCTGCTTGCAGCAAAGGGTAGTCTAAAAATTGAATAAAATAAATAAATAAATGCCAAACAGAGGCTCTAGCACTGAGCCACGGACCCTCCCTCTCGGATGCCCTGGCTGGTTTTTGAGGGACCCCCCTGAGCAGCTTTGTATAACCAGGGCTCTTTTTGTAGAAAAAGCCCAGCAGGAACTCATTAGCATGTTAGGCCACACACCCCTAATGTAGCCAATCCTAATGAGTTTCTGCTGTTGGGTGTGGCCTATTATGCTAATGAGTTCCTGCTGGGCGTGGCCAACTTGGGAGCCAGCCAGAACTCCGTTCCTGTGCGTTCCTGCCCAAAAAATAGCCCTGTATAAGACGCATTAAAGGATCTGCGGCTGCTGTGTTTCAAACTGGGTTGTCCTTGGAGGAGTTCCAAAGCAACACCCTTGTTTTTGACCCTCCCTGCTCTCCTCAGGCATCCTCCCCAAATCTCCAGGAATTCCCCAAACTGGAGGACGCAATCCCATCCTGCACTGCATCGATAACATCCAGATGGGCTGCTTCTTTTCCCTCTAGCCCCGTGGGCACCTTTGGAATTCTGATAGCAACAAAATGGCTGCCACAAAATGGCTGCCGCGGAAGGCAGAGCCAGCCATAAAAGGACTGCCACAGCTTGACGTCAGCCACACCACGCAGAGCCTTGTGCTGCCCATGCAGCTGCCGCCAAAGCAACGTTTTTAAATAATTGAATAAAATAAATAAATAAATGCCAAACAGAGGCTCTAGCACTGAGCCACGGACCCTCCCTCTCGGATGCCCTGGCTGGTTTTTGAGGGACCCCCCTGAGCAGCTTTGTATAACCAGGGCTCTTTTTGTAGAAAAAGCCCAGCAGGAACTCATTAGCATGTTAGGCCACACACCCCTAATGTAGCCAATCCTAATGAGTTTCTGCTGTTGGGTGTGGCCTATTATGCTAATGAGTTCCTGCTGGGCGTGGCCAACTTGGGAGCCAGCCGGAACTCCGTTCCTGTGCGTTCCTGCCCAAAAAATAGCCCTGTATAAGACGCATTAAAGGATCTGCGGCTGCTGTGTTTCAAACTGGGTTGTCCTTGGAGGAGTTCCAAAGCAACGCCCTTGTTTTTGACCCTCCCTGCTCTCTTCAGGCATCATCCCCAAATCTCCAGGAATTCCCCAAACTGGAGGACGCAACAAATCTCCAGGAATTTCCCAAACTGGAGGACGCAGTCCCATCCTGCACTGCATCGATAACACCCAGACGGGCCGCTTCTTTTCCCTCTAGCCTCGTGGGCACCTGCGGAATTCTGACCTAGTGTGGTGGGCACAGCTACAAAATGGCTGCTGGGAAACGGCCGTTGCAGGATGCTGAGCTGGGCACAAAATGGCTGCCCCGGCTTACCTTCAGTCACACCATGCAGCTGCCGCCAAAGCAACGTTTTTAAAAACCCACACAGCCAATCAGTTCTCTAATGGCCAGTCAGAAACCTTGCTGGGCAAAAAGCCCCTCCTGGTTCCACCCACCTTCTAAAGACGCTAGGAAAGGTGTAGGCAGGCACCATGGGACCCAGTTTGGTGTAGTGGTTAAGTGCACGGACTCTAATCTGGGAGAGCCGGGTTTGATTCCCCACTCCTCCACTTGCACCTGGCTGGAGTGACCTTGGATCAGTCACAAGTTCTCTCAGAGCTGTTCTCGCAAGAGCAGTCCTTGAAAGAGCTCTCTCAGCCCCACCTACCTCACAGGGTGCCTGTTGTGGGGAGGGGAAGGGAAAGGAGATTGTAAGCTGCTCTGAGACTCCTTCAGGTAGTGAAGGGAGAGGTATAAATCCAATCTCCTCCTCCTCCTCCTCTTCTTCCAGTTGTTCCCGTTATAAATCCTTGGTATCCACCGTCGGAGGGCAGTCGTGCTACGGTTGCATTAGACTGCCAAGGATCCGGAGTGACCGGATGAACTGGAAACTGCTCAGCAGTTTTGTGCTGTTGCAACACGGGAGGGAGAAATGTTGAAACTCACCCCCGCCCCCAATTCCTTGCAGGTCCCCACTTGGAACATTGAAGAAACAAACCGTGGCCCAATTAATCTGGGACAGCTTTTTAATTGACCGACAGTGTTTTAAACCATCCTCGACAAAATGTCGCATCCCTAAATGACTACGGGGTGCCGTGCAGCTTCGGTGCCTGAAACGTAGTGGCGCCGCAACATTCCTCTTGCAAACAGGTTTGCCAGCCTCCAGGTGAGGCCTGGGGATCTTCTGGAATTACGACTGGAGTCCAGACAACAGAGATCAGTTCCCCTGGAGAGAACGGCTGCTTTGGAGGGTGGTCTCCATGGCATTAAACCCTGCCAAGGTCCCTCCCCTCCCCACCCTCAAATCTCCTGGAATTTCCCAGTCTGGAGCTGGCAACCCTACCTGCAGAGGCTCTGCCCCATTGATTCTTTGCACAGATGTCCAGGAGCAGTTCCCTAAACTGGATTGTGACGTGACGCAGTGTTCCCTCTAAGCTGAGTTAGTGTGAGCTAGCTCACAGTTTTTTTAGCCACCTGCTCACAGATTTCTGTCTTAGCTCCCGAGCAAAGTAATTTATGCCGCAGCCAAATCGCTCGCTCACAACTTTAATGCCAGTAGCTCACAGAGTAGAATTCTTGCTCAGAAGACTCCACAGCTTAGAGGGAACACGTGAGCAGATCCCAAAGCCCTCTTGGACCGGGGGAACTGGAGGGCCGGGGTGTGTGTGTGTGTCTGGCCCTGCATCCTGTCAAAGGCAAGCCCGCGAAGCCCCCCATGACTCCGGGAGCAGCCAGCCCCCCCTCAGGGGGTGAAGCACTCCAAGGGGTCGTCGGAATCGGGCAGGATGTTGCAGTTCAGAGGCCACGGAATGCCCAGCAGGCTGAGGGATCGCTGGCAGTGCCGTTCGGCTTCCAGGCAGACGGAGCGGCACAGCTGGAGGATGCCCCCGTCAGGGGTGCATTTGGGCACAAAGAGGCTGCAGATCAAGGCGCGCAGGTACGGGTAGCAAGCGAGGCCCTCCAGCAAATATTGTATAGCCTCTTGAAATGTGGTGTGTGTGTGTGTGTGTGTGAAAGAGAGAGAGAGAGAGAGAGAGAGAGAGAGAGAGAGAGGGGCTGCGTCAGGCGCTGGCACGTGCAGGCCTGGGACCTGGCAAAAAGATCACCCATATTCATTGCTTCTAAGGCGTTCATAGGTCTGGGAAGCCTTGCATAACTCCTGCTAACTCTTTGCCGTATGCATCACGCCACGGTCACTGCATTATTTCCCCCTGATGTAATCCCATTCTTCTGCCCTGTGTGTAATGATGGGATCACATTTTTCCTGCATCGCAAAGATATTCCGATTTCTAAGATACGTTTGTTTCAGTCGTTCGTCATTCTAGTTCTGGTACATAGCTGGTCCCCTGAACATGGCAGGTCCATCGGCAGCCCTGCCTAGCCCAAGCTCACCACAGCTCAGAAGCTAAGCGGGGTCAGCCGAGGAAGACCAAGGTCGCCGTGTAGAGGCAGGCCAGGGCAATCCACCTCTGCTTCTCTTTTGCTTTGTGATGTGGCGACACTGACCGGGATGGGCCAGGGTAGCCCGATCTCATCAGATCTCGGAAGCTAAGCAGGGTCGGCCTTGGTTAGTCCTTGGATGGGAGACCTCTAAGGCATACCGGGGTTGGGATGCAGACGCTGGCAATGGCAAACCGCCTCTGAATAGTCTCTTGCCTTAAAAGCAAGTCTAGCTTGCCACCTAGTGGTGCATGGTGCCAGAGCTAGAACTTCTGGCTGCCAGACAATCTTCGGATCTCCCGGCTATACAACACACACTGTGAAAAAGTGACGCTTAATATATATCTTTAAAGAATCGTGGGAAAGTGAACAAAAATAGTATACATAGTCATAGAAAAATATATTGACGGTGATCTCCGGAATGTCTTGCCGTTTCGAAGGAAGATCTTCTTCTGAACAAAGATGTAGGACAAAAAATTGTCTCTCAGTGATTCATATCCTCTGGTGACGTCTCACAATTATCAAAGAAGATTTTATATAGAGAGAACTCACCAATGTTCATAACAGCTGTAATGTATAGTAGAACCTGCCATGGGCTAAGATCAGGGCC